TGGTACTGTTATTGTTGGTATGCAATGCATACCATGCATCCCGAGTTGTGTTATTAGTGGTTATCGCAATACGAGAAGTACTTGAGTATCTTCGAAAACTCCCAAATTGAGTGACCTTGCTCGTGAGCTTTGACTTCCGTGTTCGTGTCCCACGGTCGACTTCCGATGAGCTTCGGCGTTCGCTTATCAGATAAAGTACCGCTCAAGACTCACGGAGCCGAGTGATCGGACTAAAGTTTAGTCACTAAACCACTCTGAACACGACCGGACCACTTTTACCGACACGCTTTGTCGGTATTTTCCCAACAGGAAAACTACCTAGCTAAGTTTGCAGAACTTAAATAAATTTATTTGCATACCAAACGGAGTAAGGCTCGATCTGAGCTAACCGTTCGTAGTGGAGTCACGAGGGCGTGATGTTCAGACTAAGCGTGTCGCTGCCAGCGTTACGCTGGAAACGACGAATCTTCGGAAATGTCTCTGAACTAAATAAGAAGTGGTGTTATTGTGCGTCATTGCTAACACCATGACACCAGTCGGTGACTGGTATTTGTACAAGAGTTTGGCTTTCTACGCTCACTCTTGTTTGACTTGAACAGCTTGATCCCCTGCTCACTTAGGCCGCGTGAAAGAGTGCACCAAGGACTCACTGAGTACTAGGGAGTCACTAGTATTCAGTGAGCCCTGACTCCCTGAATTCGGTGTTCAAGACTTATTCGGCTTAACAGGTTCGGCTGCCTTCGTGTATTTACAACCCCATAAGGCCACGAAGAAGTCAGAGCACCTCCCCCCAAGGCCCAGAGGTGTGCTGAAGATACTTCAGCACACCTCTGGAGATTTCGCAGTAGAGAAATCCAGCGGCTACCAAAATCTCCGCTTCATAGCCGAGCGGGGCCATCTTCAGCGTAAGTGAGATGAAGTTCGGGTAGACAATTGCCCGAGGACGACATTCGAGCGCTGCGCTCATGCTGGCGGCTACGATCAGCCCCGTGGTAATATTAAACTACGGTGGACCGCGAAGCCTCTGGGAGCCCTTCACGCCACGACAGAACACGATTTTTAACCACTTGCATAATGTTATTCTGTATATAGGTCCTATATTATAGGACTTCAGGAGAGTGTTTGCTGTGTAGGTCCTCGTGAGATTATTCGCTGTCACGCTGCTGTTATCCAATTATGCTCGCCAGGATCCTTGATGCGGGACCGCCCCACCCTCCTCGCGTTCTTACTCGGTACCTAATACTGGAATTCATGGGAAGCCACGAAGCACGTAGATCTTCACCGCGAAAAGACAGCGGAGAACACGCACCTAGCGGCTAGGTCCTAGCCAAAAGTGATGTTCACTGGGAACCGGGGCCGTGTGATTTAAGAAAATAGAAAAAAGGCCGTATGAGCGGAAAGATTAGAGGAGTCTCTGTAGTGCGTGATGCTGAGGCTCAGCCGCTGAGCTTCGGAATGGATATGGTCTTATGCGTTTCGACCGATCGATTGAGATTCTCAATTTGAGAAGAATGGACCTGTGAACATCCAGTGCTTCAGTCGCGGAGCCCTCCTGAGGTTACCACTACGGAATGCGGATATTGAGATTATCTCAATGAGATAGGAGCTTCGCAGCTGCTCCGTGAGTCTTGCAGTATGGGATCCATACTATGGATCATTCGATGGGCCCCATCGACCATCGGCCCATCGGGCCCATTCGTCTTGCCGCAGGACGGATTTTACTGTAGGCTAGTGTCACTGCGTAAGTCTTCTTGACGAAGCCGAAGATTTCTGTGTGCAAGAAGGATCCGAGTGATCAAACAAAACACATTAAGAGTCTCAATTCGAGACTCGTTTTGGGTCCCAAGGTACGTACCACCTACTACGTACCCGGCTCCATATGATTGTAGAGTCTACAATGTAGACCAGAGTCATTCTGCTATCAGGACGGGCATGAACTCTCCAAGCTCCAGAAGTTTGAGAGATCTATCCGGGCCCGTTGTATTTGCTCCGTATTGAAGTACTTATTCCAGGGGTAGCGGAAATTCGTTGAAGTTAGTCGAGCTGTCAGCTCATCAGGATGGGGACAAGAGTACAAATGGTAAGTACCTAGTACGTGCCACGTGCACTGCTATCACGCGCATTCAGTAAGGCACCAATAAACGGTCTGAGACGGTCCGGCTCTCCTCGTGAGCCAACTTGTTCGTTCTTTTCAGCAGACAAGCTTCATGCTTCGGGCAAAGATTGCGTCTCGCGCAACTGATTCACTTAAACTCAGTTCAGTGAACTGAATCCGGGAGTCAATGAATGGCACAAGGATTGCGCATTCTACTGTCACTGGGCCGAACGCAAAGGCCAATCTCGAGATACCTCAAGCGCGATATGATACCGACCAACTTGACGCACACTTCATCTGGCGAATAGAGAGTGAAGTCAGAAACTGGTCGACACATTCGCGATTCAATGTGAGCAACGTTTGAAAACAAATTCCAGCGATGAACATCAGCTATAACATCGCTAGCAGAGAAAAGTTGAACTGCGTGATGTTGAAAGTTGCCCCTGCGTGATACCTCTGCTGATGTGAAACTTGACTGCGCCTTCCATCTCCGCTTGAGAACAAAGTAGAAAGAGACTCCACACGAGCTCCTGCTGAGCAGAATCTGCTCCTAGAGTGGAGTAATCGGGTGAGAAAAAACGAGATGACTCAGCTGGGATGAGATTGATAATATCGTAATGAATGATATATGGTACGGACTAAAGAGTTGTTGATCGAATCGAATACTCGCCTCTTTACCAAGAGATGCCCGGGGCTCGCATACGGAGGGATGCTAAGCTGAGCATGGTCTGGTACATGAAGACTCGACCTCTCTCCTGTAGAGTTGCTGTAGTAGCAGCTGTGCTACTGCTCAAACATGCAGCCGAACCCCTGGGACCCATATGACCCGAAATCTTCGCAGACACCAGAGGCCGGGCAGTCCTGAGAATACGTGGAACTGGGCAGCGGTGGGAGAGCTACGGCTGGCTCACCTCGTCATACTCGCATCTAATAAAGCAGACCCCGAAGAGACACTCTGCCGCCCCGCGGGGTGGCTTAGGACACCCGCTTCCGCACGACTGTGTGCACACGACGGCCACAACCGTGCCACCGCTCTGAGTTGGACGGACCAATGGTTTGAGAAGATCGAGCATGTTGCTGCACTCACTGTGATAGCGACAGCCTGGTCAGTGCTGCAAGAACATCCCAGTATGTCAGAACCTTTCACGTAACATTTTCCTCCCGTCGGCTTCTCGTAGGTATTCCCTCCTGAGCCACAGAAATGCTGGATAAATCGTCTTCGAGCATCTGCCTACCCTTAGTGAGCTCCGCTGAACTTGCATTCACGGACACCATACTTAGCTGAGCTTTGCTTCTCCTGGACAGCAGACGCAATGGATGTTCTTAATAGAGCGACAAGTTTCGCTTACGAATATCCGTCGGGAGACTCGATCTTGTTGTCGAGGATTGCGCCACAAAGGCAAATAAGGCTCATAATCTGGGCGATGATGTACATGGACGGGATGCTTCGTGATAGCGTCGGGGCTGCTTGAATCAACTTTCTGAATGCTGTTGTTAGCTTAGCTCTCAGTCTGCACGCCGAGATGTCCCATTTTGGCCGTCCCTCTTGAGCAACGTATCATGCTGAGACAGGTAGAGTGTTCCTGCCACAGTACCGCTAGTGTGTGATCAAAATGGAATAACACTATTAAGCCCCACGACCCTCTCCTGACTCTTGACTCATATGGGGATGACTGCGTTCTCTCCGGCAGGTTAGTAGAGCTAGGTGGCGACAAAAATGAGGACATGCAGTGCATGCGTACTTGCCATGCAAACGAGTAGTCTCACTCGGGAGTGAACTTCCTTCGAGCGAACAACCGACTGCAGCCTCCGCCATGTTTGCCTCATAGCGACGCTGAGGGTTGTGGATAGCATCCTCAATGTCGTACCTGTGGCAAGACTCTCGGGCCCTGATAACTACTAGCTCAGCTAATTCGTCGAACTGTGCTGTTACAGCTGCGGAAGCTAGTAACTGTCCCTGCCCTTGCCACTCAGTTACTCCAGGAACTATGTTCCTTGGATAGTCGACTTGTAAAACACCTAATGCATTTACTTCAGTATTCGTTCAGGAACCTAAGGTGGCTTAACTCCGCCTTAAGTCCGGCGAGGGATTGGGGACGAGCAGAGTGCGGCGAAGCTCGCCGGACGCTAGATCATAGCTCCATGACCTGGTCTACACCATTTCTAGACCTACTCAGTAGAACCCCAGCCCAAATTAGTAGAACTCCAGAGCAATATAATTAAGCCCAGACCAAATTAGTAAAACCCCAAAGCAATTTAGTCAGCACGCGAGTCTCGTGGCGAGACGCATTCTGACCGGCCCCCTTTCCGGTCTGGGGACTCCGGCCATGAGTGGCGGTAGCGGTGGTAGAACGAGGTCAGGGTACCACCTGCCGTATCGTGAGATGTGGGATATCGTGAGACTATGCGACTTTGTATAGGGTGTTTCAATCACGCCGAAACATTACACCCTCGTTGCTCAGCTATGGAAGGCATGCCAGTCCGAGGCTCAATCCAAATGTTCAACGGTTAAACTTCAACCTGTGATCAGTAGCATATCGAGGGTTTACTTCTTGTAAATTGTGAGTTTCCCCATACTTGTTGGTGACTTTGTTGAGCTCTACTAAATTGGTCTTTCATGAAACTAAATTGCTCTGGGGTTTTACTAATTTGGTCTAAGGTTTTACCTAGGTAGGTCTGGAAATGGTGTAGTATCGCTTGAATACCTGCACTAGCTTCGTTTGTGCGGAAGATGCTCCAGTGGCTTATCACACAAAACACGCCTTCTTCGTTGTGCGGGAGCGAAAAATTCCCCTACTCCCAGAATTTCATTCTAGCCGTTGTCGATCACTGCCAAGATCTTGCTTCCACGGCTATTTGGCCCTGCAGCTTCCGGTCCGGAATTTCCGGACATGTTACAGTGTAAGCTACTTTAGCTTAGTGGTAGAGCGTCCGCTTTGTAGTGAGAAAATCGTCAGTGCAATCCTGGCAAGTGGCTAAAGAATTTGGTGACATCAAGTTTATCCTTTGATGATTCTAGGAGGAAGATCTTCCTCTACGGCTATTTGGCCTCGCAGCTTCTGGACTCGCTATCGTGTAAGCCACTTTAGCTTTGTGGTAGAGCGTCTGCTTCGTAAGCAGAAGGTCGTCAGTTCAATCCTGGCAAGTGGCTTAAGTATTTCGTGAGATCGCTTTATCCTCTTATGGCTGTAGGAGGAAGATGTTGCGCCTCGGCTATTCGGCCCTGCAGCTTCCGGACATGTTGTTGTGTAAGCCACTTTAGCTTAGTGGTAGAGCGTCTGTTTCGTAAGCAGAAGGTCGTCAGTTCAACCCTGGCAAGTGGCTGAAGTGTTTGGTGATATCAAGTTTATCCTTTGATGATCCTAGGAGGAAGATCTTCCTCTACGGCTATTTGGCCTCGCAGCTTCTGGACACGCTATCGTGTAAGCCACTTTAGCTTAGTGGTAGAGCGTCTGCTTCGTAAGCAGAAGGTCGTCAGTTCAATCCTGGCAAGTGGCTTAAGTATTTTGTGAGATCGCTTTATCCTCTTATGGCTGTAGGAGGAAGATGTTGCGCCACGGCTATTTGGCCCTGCAGCTTCCGGACGTGTTATCGTGTAAGCCACTTTTGCTTAGTGGTAGAGCGTCTGCTTCGTGAGCAGAAGATCGTCAGATCAATTATGGCAAGTGGCTGAAGTATTTCGTGAGATCGCTTTATCCTCTTACGGCTGTAGGAGGAAGATCTTCCTCTACGGCTATTTGGCCTTGCAGCTTCTGGACATGCTTTCGTGTAAGCCACTTTAGCTTAGTGGTAGAGCGTCTGCTTCGTAAGCAGAAGGTCGTCAGTTCAATCCTTGGCAAGTGGCTTAAGTATTTCGTGAGATCGCTTTATCCTCTTATGGCTGTAGCCTACAGCCTGTAGGAGGAAGATCTTGCGCCACGGCTATTTGGCCCTGCAGCTTCCGGACGTGTTATCGTGTAAGCCACTTTAGCTTAGTGGTAGAGCGTCTGCTTCGTAAGCAGAAGGTCGTCAGTTCAATCCTGGCAAGTGGCTTGAGTATTTCGTGAGATCGCTTTATCCTCTTATGGCTGTAGGAGGAAGATGATGCGCCTCGGCTATTCGGCCCTGCAGCTTCCGGACATGTTATTGTGTAAGCCATTTTAGCTTAGTGGTAGAGCGTCTGCTTCGTAAGCAGAAGGTCGTCAGTTCAATCCTGGCAAGTGGCTGAAGTATTTCGTGAGATCGCTTTATCCTCTTATGGCTGTAGGAGGAAGATGTTGCGCCTCGGCTATTCGGCCCTGCAACTTCCGGACATGTTATTGTGTAAGCCACTTTAGCTTAGTGGTAGAGCGTCTGCTTCGTAAGCAGAAGGTCGTCAGTTCAATCCTGCCAAGTGGCTGAAGTGTTTGGTGATATCAAGTTTATCCTTTGATGATTCTAGGAGGAAGATCTTCCTCTACGGCTATTTGGCCACGCAGCTTCTGGACATGCTATCGTGTAAGCCACTTTAGCTTAGTGGTAGAGCGTCTGCTTCGTAAGCAGAAGGTCGTCAGTTCAATCCTGGCAAGTGGCTTAAGTATTTCGTGAGATCGCTTTATCCTCTTATGGCTGTAGGAGGAAGATGTTGCGCCACGGCTATTTGGCCCGGCAGCTTCCGGACGTGTTATCGTGTAAGCCACTTTTGCTTAGTGGTAGAGCGTCTGCTTCGTGAGCAGAAGATCGTCAGATCAATTATGGCAAGTGGCTGAAGTATTTCGTGAGATCGCTTTATCCTCTTATGGCTGTAGCCTACAGCCTGTAGGAGGAAGATCTTGCGCCACGGCTATTTGGCCCTGCAGCTTCCGGACGTGTTATCGTGTAAGCCCTTTTGCTTAGTGGTAGAGCGTCTGCTTCGTGAGCAGAAGATCGTCAGCTCAATTATGGCAAGTGGCTATAGTGCTTGGCAATGCAGCAATGCTGCAGCAGCATTGATCTCTGACTCTGAGTCACTGCTAGTCGGCCTCTCAGTTGCTGGGTAATATGTCTCCTAGGCCACATCAGTTTAGTGGTAGTCTACCACTGGTAGAGCGTGTGCTTCGTAAGCAGATAACTGACCATCATAATCTTGCCATCGTGCAATGACTGAATCCCCAATGGCGTCTCTTCTTTCCCGTACGCGCCATCAATCATCTCCAGCGGATTGAAGGAGGGCAGAATGATTCTCTCTCAATTTTGCGTGTTCAACACAACAGCAGCGAAAACCGAGAGGCAGAATCGTACTTGGGTTCACCGCAGCAGGGAACTATACGAATCGGCAACCTATAGAGACATAGCTATACGGCGCTAAGCTGTAAATCACTCAAAGCTGAGATACCACGGCAACGAAAGCGAGACCACCACAGCACAGCCGCTGTGGCACAGCGCACGTCACTTGTAGGAAACCGAGGCAAAGTTGGAATAGACTCGATCAAATACCTCCACGAAGTGGATAAGTTCCAACAGCCAATATGAAGTTGCAGCTCTCCTCGATATTCTATACCTCTCGTCACTGAGCGGAATGACTAGAAGCCGAAGCTAGGTGTGGAGAAGGGACATCGGTGAGAACCGGTCCACTGCTCCTTTTCTCTGCGTACAAATATCCGATAGACAGATTCGAAGGTCAATTGACCTCTCGCCATTTTCTAGCAGCGACCGTGCTACTGCTTGTACATACAGGCATGCCCTATAACTCCATATTGTAGTAAATCTTGGCAGTACCCCGGATGGGTCAGGAAACCTCGACAGTCCTGAGAACAAGAAGCGAATTCCTTCGTATAGAGTCCTCGGAGTCCTGGCTCACTTGGTCATCATCACAGCCTATAACACACGATCCGTCAACACATTTCATTGCTGGTGACCGAAATGGAGGCAAGGGGCACTGCTCCGCGGTGGTGCACCTCTCCGAGCAGACGGCTGAGGAGATGACTCCTTGTCATCCTTATATGACTCCTTGTAGACGTAGCATGTCCCTGACGGGCCGGAAAACCGGCAGTGCCGGCTTTCCGTAGATATTCCCTGTTGAGTCCACGGAGCATGCGTGGAGCACGAAGCACAGAATGTTGATGATGGTGAGCATGATGAGTTGGTTTCTGATACAGGGATTGTCAGAACCGTTTGCCGCTCTCTAAGCTCAGTTCGCAGCTTGGGTAGGTGTGACAATGTCACTCATGTACATACTACGGCCCGGCTCTATATGAGTGGAGACCAGCGTCATTCTGCTATCAGGACGGGCATGAACTCTCCAAGCTCCCAAAGTTTGAGAGATCTATCCGGGCCCGTTGTATTTGCTCCGTATTGAAGTACTTATTCCAGGGGTAGCGAAAATTTGCGAGTAAGTCGAGCTGTCAGCTCATCAGGATCTGGACAAAAGTCCAGATGCCAAGTGCCGGCGTGGTACTTGCCACGTGCACTGCTATCACGCGCGTTCAATAAGGCACCAATAAACCGTCTGAGATGGTCCGTCTCTCCGCGTTAGCCAACTTGTTCGTTCTGCTCAGCACACCTGCTTCATGCCTGGGGTTTAGATCGCGTCTCGCGCAACTGATTCATTTGTCAGATGACATCCGACTTCAGTTCGATGAACTGAATCCGGAAGTCAATGAATGGGACAGGAATGTCACATTCTACTGTCACTGGACAGAACGCAACAGGCCAATATCGTGAACGCCTGTGAACTTCTATCTCGTGATACCTCAAGCGCGATATGATATCGACCAACTTGATGCACACTCCATCTGGCGAATTGAGAGTGAAGTCAGAAACTGGTCGACACATTCACGATTCAATGCGACTATCCTCTGAAAGAACTTTCTTCTAGCGGTGAGTGTGATGGTTTAACATCGCTAACACAGAAAAGTTGAACTGAATGGCAAAGCTCTGATGTGAAACTTGACTGCATCCTCCATTTCTGCTTGGGAACAGAGAAAAGGGCCCTACACGAGATTCTGCTGAGCAGAATACGCTCCTAGGGGAGGGGGAGTAATCAGGTGTAAAAAAAGACTCAGCTATGATGAGATTGATAATATCGTCATGAATGGTATGCAACAGGTAGTAATGAAATGGACTAAAGAATTGTTACTCTACTCGAATACTTGCCCCTCTACGAGGAGATGCCAAGGGCTTGGCCCGAGCCGCTTGGATACGGAGAAATGCGAAACTGAGCGCGGCCTGGTGCGTGACGACCTCTTCTCGACAGAGTTGCCGTAAAAGCAACCGTGCTACTGCGCGAACATGCAGCCGAACCCGCTGAACCCAGCTAAGCGGAAATCTTCGCAAAAACCAGAGCCAGGGCAGTCCTAAGAATACGTGGCACTAGGCAGTGGTTGGAGAGCTACGGCTGGCTCACCTCGTCATACTTGCATCTAATAAAGCAGACCCCGAAGAGACACTCTGCCGCCCCGCGGGGTGGCTTAGGACACCCGCTTCCGCACGACTGTGTGCACACGACGGCCACAACCGTGCCACCGCTCTGAGTTGGACGGACCAATGGTTTGAGAAGATCGAGCATGTTGCTGCACTCACTGTGATAGCGACAGCTTGGTCAGTGCTGCAAGAACATCCCAGTATGTCAGAACCTTTCACGTAACATTTTCCTCCCGTCGGCTTCTCGTAGGTATTCCCTCCTGAGTCACAGAAATGCTGGATGAATCGTCTTCGAGCATCTGCCTACCCTTAGTGAGCTCCGCTGAACTTGCATTCACGGACACCATACTTAGCTGAGCTTTGCTTCTCCTGGACAGCAGACGCAATGGATGTTCTTAATAGAGCGACAAGTTTCGCTTACGAATATCCGTCGGGAGACTCGATCTTGTTGTCGAGGATTGCGCCACAAAGGCAAATAAGGCTCATAATCTGGGCGATGATGTACATGGACGGGATGCTTCGTGATAGCGTCGGGGCTGCTTGAATCAACTTTCTGAATGCTGTTGTTAGCTTAGCTCTCAGTCTGCACGCCGAGATGTCCCGTTTTGGCCGTCCCTCTTGAGCAACGTATCATGCTGAGACAGGTAGAGTGTTCCTGCCACAGTACCGCTAGTGTGTGATCAAAATGGAATAACACTATTAAGCCCCACGACCCTCTCCTGACTCTTGACTCATATGGGGATGACTGCGTTCTCTCCGGCAGGTTAGTAGAGCTAGGTGGCGACAAAATGAGGACATGCAGTGCATGCGTACTTGCCATGCAAACGAGTAGTCTCACTCGGGAGTGAACTTCCTTCGAGCGAACAACCGACTGCAGCCTCCGCCATGTTTGCCTCATAGAGACGCTGAGGGTTGTGGATAGCATCCTCAATGTCGTACCTGTGGCAAGACTCTCGGGCCCTGATAACTACTAGCTCAGCTAATTCGTCGAACTGTGCTGTTACAGCTGCGGAAGCTAGTAACTGTCCCTGCCCTTGCCACTCAGTTACTCCAGGAACTATGTTCCTTGGATAGTCGACTTGTAAAACACCTAATGCATTTACTTCAGTATTCGTTCAGGAACCTAAGGTGGCTTAACTCCGCCTTCAGTCCGGCGAGGAACGGATTGGGGACGAGCAGAGTGCGGCGAAGCTCGCCGGACGCTAGATCATAGCTCCATGACCTGGTCTACACCATTTCTAGACCTACTCAGTAAAACCCCAGCCCAAATTAGTAGAACTCCAGAGCAATATAATTAAGCCCAGACCAAATTAGTAACACCCCAAAGCAATTTAGTCAGCACGCGAGTCTCGTGGCGAGACGCATTCTGACCGGCCTGCTCTCCGGTCTGGGGACTCCGGCCATGAGTGGCGGTAGCGGTGGTAGAACGAGGCCAGGGTACCACCTGCCGTATCGTGAGATGTGGGATATCGTGAGACTATGCGACTTTGTATAGGGTGTTTCAATCACGCCGAAACATTACACCCTCGTTGCTCAGCTATGGAAGGCATGCCAGTCCGAGGCTCAATCCAAATGTTCAACGGTTAAACTTCAACCTGTGATCAGTAGGATATCGAGGGTTTACTTCATGTAAATTGTGAGTTTCCCCATACTTGTTGGTGACTTTGTTGAGCTCTACTAAATTGGTCTTTCATGAAACTAAATTGCTCTGGGGTTTTACTAATTTGGTCTAAGGTTTTACCTAGGTAGGTCTGGAAATGGTGTAGTATCGCTTGAATACCTGCACTAGCTTCGTTTGTGCGGAAGATGCTCCAGTGGCTTATCACACAAAACACGCCTTCTTCGTTGTGCGGGAGCGAAAAATTCCTCTACTCCCAGAATTTCATTCTCGCCGATCAGCCGTTGTCGATCACTGCCAAGATCTTGCTTCCACGGCTATTTGGCCCTGCAGCTTCCGGTCCGGAATTTCCGGACATGTTACAGTGTAAGCTACTTTAGCTTAGTGGTAGAGCGTCTGCTTCGTAGGCAGAAGGTCGTCAGTTTAATCCTGGCCAGTGGCTAAAGAATTTGGTGACATCAAATTTATCCTTTGACGATTCTAGGAGGAAGATCTTGCGCCACGGCTATTTGGCCCTGCAGCTTCCGGACGTGTTATCGTGTAAGCCACTTTTGCTTAGTGGTAGAGCGTCTGCTTCGTGAGCAGAAGATCGTCAGATCAATCCTGGCAAGCGGCTGAAGTATTTCGTGAGATCGCTTTATCCTCTTACGGCTGTAGGAGGAAGATTTTGCGCCACGGCTATTCGGCCCGTGCAGCTTCCGGACATACTATCGTGTAAGCCACTTTAGCTTAGTGGTAGAGCGTCTGCTCTGTAAGCAGAAGGTCGTTAATTCAATCCTAGCAATTGACTGAAGTGTTTGGTGACATCAAGTTTATCCTTTGATGATCCTAGGTGGAAGATCTTCCTCTACGGCTATTCGGCCGTGCAGCTTCTGGACATCCTATCGTGCAAGCCACTTTAGCTTAGTGGTAGAGCGTCTACTTCGTAAGCAGAAGGTCGTCAGTTCAATCCTGGCAAGTGGCTTAAGTATTTCGTTAGATCGCTTTATCCTCTTTTGGCTGTAGCCTACAGCCTGTAAGAGGAAGATCTTGCGCCACGGCTATTTGGCCCTGCAGCTTCCGGACGTGTTATCGTGTAAGCCACTTTAGCTTAGTGGTAGAGCGTCTGCTTCGTAAGCAGAAGGTCGTCAGTTCAATCCTGGCAAGTGGCTTAAATATTTCGTTAAATCGCTTTATCCTCTTATGGCTGTAGGAGGAAGATGTTGCGCCTCGGCTATTCGGCCCTGCAGCTTCCGGACATGTTATTCTATAAGCCACAGTTAAGTGGTAGAGCGTCTGCTTCGTAAGCAGGAGATCGTCAGTTCAATCCTGGCAAGTGGCTGAAGTATTTCCTGAGATCGCTTTATCCTCTTATGGCTGTAGCCTACAGCCTGTAAGAGGAAGATCTTGCGCCACGGCTATTTGGCCCTGCAGCTTCCGGACGTGTTATCGTGTAAGCCACTTTTGCTTAGTGGTAGAGCGTCTGCTTCGTGAGCAGAAGATCGTCAGATCAATTATGGCAAGCGGCTGAAGTATTTCGTGAGATCGCTTTATCCTCTTACGGCTGTAGGAGGAAGATTTTGCGCCACGGCTATTCGGCCGTGCAGCTTCCGGACATACTATCGTGTAAGCCACTTTAGCTTAGTGGTAGAGCGTCTGCTCTGTAAGCAGAAGGTCGTTAATTCAATCCTAGCAATTGACTGAAGTGTTTGGTGACATCAAGTTTATCCTTTGATGATCCTAGGTGGAAGACCTTCCTCTACGGCTATTCGGCCGTGCAGCTTCTGGACATCCTATCGTGCAAGCCACTTTAGCTTAGTGGTAGAGCGTCTGCTTCGTAAGCAGAAGGTCGTCAGTTCAATCCTGGCAAGTGGCTTAAGTATTTCGTTAGATCGCTTTATCCTCTTATGGCTGTAGCCTACAGCCTGTAAGAGGAAGATCTTGCGCCACGGCTATTTGGCCCTGCAGCTTCCGGACGTGTTATCGTGTAAGCCCTTTTGCTTAGCGGTAGAGCGTCTGCTTCGTGAGCAGAAGATCGTCAGCTCAATTATGGCAAGTGGCTATAGTGCTTGGCAATTCAGCATTGATCTCTGACTCTGAGTCACTGCTAGTCGGCCTCTCAGTTGCTGGGTAACATGTCTCCTAGGCCACATCAGTTTAGTGGTAGTCAACCACTGGTAGAGCGTGTGGCACACGCCGTGTGCTTCGTAAGCAGATAGCTGACCATCATAATCTTGCCATCGTGCAATGACTGAATCCCCAATGGCGTCTCTTCTTTCCCGTACGCGCCATCAATCATCTCCAGCGGATTGAAGGAGGGCAGAATGATTCTCTCTCAATTTTGCGTGTTCAACACAACAGCAGCGAAAACCGAGACTCTCGGTCCGAGAGGCAGAATCGTACTTGGGTTCACCGCAGCAGGGAACTAGACGAATCGGCAACCTATAGAGACATAGCTATACGGCGCTATGCTGTAAATCACTCAAAGCTGAGATACCACGCCAACGAAAGCGAAACCACCACAGCACAGCCGCTGTGGCACAGCGCACGTCACTTGTAGGAAGCCGAGGAAGAGTTGGAATAGACTCGATCAAATATCCCCACGAAGTGAATAAGTTCCAACAGTCAACATGAAGTTGCAGCTCTCCTCGATGTTCTATACCTCTCGTCACTGAGTGGAATGACTAGAAACCGAAGCTAGGTGTGGAGAAGGGACATCGGTGAGAACCGGTCCACTGCTCCTTTTCTCTGCGCACAAATATCCGATAGATAAATTCGAAGGTCAATTGACCTCCTCGCCATTCTCTAGCAGCGACCGTGCTACTGCTTGTACATACAGGCATGCCCTATAACTCCATATTGTAGCAAATCTTGGCAGTACCCCGGCTGGGTCAGGAAACCTCGACAGTCCTGAGAACAAGAAGCGAATTTCTTCGTTGAGAGTCCTCGGCTGGTTCACTTGGTCATCAACACAGCCTATAGCACACGATCCGTCAACACATTTGATTGCCGGAGACCAAAAGGGAGGCAAGGGACACTGCTCCGCGGTGGTGCACTTCTCCGAGCAGACGGCTGAGGAGATGACTTCTTGTTTATTCTGAGAATCATCACCGAAAATTTCGAAATGTATCGGGAACGTTTCAGCGGTCGATGATGGTATACTCACGTGGATGCTGAAAACAACATCAGAGCCGCAATCACATCCTGCTGCGGCACCATTATAGACGTAGCATATCCCTGCCGGCTTTTCGTAGATATTCCTTGGTAAGTCCACAAAGCATGCGTGGAGCACGAAGCACAGAATATTGATAATGGTGAGCATGATGACGCGGTTTCTCATACCGTGATTGTCGGAAACTCCGACTCGGAATCGTTTGCTGCTCTCTAAGCTCAGCTCGCAGCTTGTCACCGTGACATGCAGGCTGCGATATGCAGCAGCAGGCCCCATGCTGCACTGTAGCCCACGCTGTGAGTCTTAGAGCTTTGAGGCGTAGCCTTTGCTTTTAAGAACGAGTCGAGCGCAAGGTGCGATTGCTCGCTCAAAGCTGAAGATTCGAGAGAGGCTCTGTTGCAGAGCTCCCACACTGCCGCTGCTGTTTCGTGTTGATGCGTGCATAGCTATTCCCCTTCGAGGGGATAAGCTTAAAAGAAGCAGGGAGACTATACACTCCCGCCGCGCGTTGACTATGAACGACACTGGAGAAGAAACAAACACGACTCGTGGTTACTAACCACTGGTTAGGGTAACGATGACCCTTGCCCGACCACATCTTCCCTCACTGAAGTCATTATTCGGTTGCCCTCTACAGGGATTTGAACTCCGAAATCGCGACAAGGGAGAGTGCCAGAGCATCAATGACTTGGTACTGTTGTCCAATGGACAATGTCCATTAGCCTCGGCAGTTTGCGGAAGGCTCTTCTTGAAGGCTCAGGCTACAACTTTGCAAACCCCGGACGTGAAGATATACAAAACTACTGCTCGTATGCCGGGGTTTCCACACTTCACTTCCTCTGAACTCGGTAGGGTGGGTAGCGTAACACTACTAGTGTTGCTGTAACACTGTTCCATAATATATAACTTCAAGTTTTACAATACCCACTGGACTGAGAGTGCTTGTGAGATGGACCCTGAAATATAGCTTGCGTACAGACTACTCTGCACGCACGAACAAGGGCGTAGAAACTGTCACAGGTTTGTTACCTAACCACTACTAGAGAAACGCAACGACAATCGAAGAGTAGCCTAGCAGGCAGAAGAGATCTACGTGAACGATTCGGTGACTGAGAACCAGTAGCAGAGGCAACAACTTCACACAATCTAAATGACTGTGCGTGAGAAGAACAGTCCAACCCTGGACTTCCCCGAGGACCGACCTTCCATCATCGCAAGGTTGCCCTATGAGGGCCTAAAACCTCCAATTATCACAAAAGCCAGCCCCTCAAGCTGCACGCATGCACATAGCTTTGCAGCTATTTAGGCCAAGAGTGGGCCGAGGTTCATGCAGGCGAAGCGAAGCCAGTTTCGCACATGAGGGTGCAACTTCCAGCCGTAACATGTTGTAACTCACAACATTTCGCTACGAGACAGAAATTCAAATTCTGTCACAGAATCACAAACAGTCGCAGTTTCAACGGAACAACAGTCTACGAATCACGGCAGTAAGACTCGCTACTGTTGAGCGGCGACTGTTCAACAGTTCTGAATGAGGACCGCGCATTTGTTAGATGAATTTCATTTCCCTTGCCTTTCTTCTTCTCCATCAGAATAGCAGCTTATCCTGGGCGGCCACACATTTCTAGGGTATCTTCCATCGTGAAGTGACTTCGCTTTGTTGTGTGGTCCGATGGGGCCGATGAACGCCTGCCGATCATCGCCAATCGATTATTGCGCCGTCTAGGTATCAATATTGCTCCACACACGATTGCTCCAAGGTGTGTCATCGCTAGAGTAGAGCACACCCATCGTTTCTCATCGTCATCTTTTTATCCTTTTTTCCCTCTCGTCCGTCCCTATACGGATCCTGTTTGGTTGTTATCGCACTATGCCAAGACTAACTGAGCCTCGCGACTCAGATACAGTCCAATGACTGTCTATCGCCACTTCTGTGTACGTACATGCTTACGACATGTTATCGCCCATGGAGCTGGAGCTATCCGATCAAGCGAGTGGGAGGTTTGGCCGCCAAAGGCGAGCCAGGCTCGCCATCGTTGCAGTTCGTACGCACTTTGAGTGACAGGTCCGACAGTCAGACATGAGTCAGAGCCTGACTCAGACTCTGACTCGGTATCGTCACGATTGTTTTGCCGAATTGGTATTGCCATTTCGACTAACAATAGTGTTATGATAACACTGAGCCACGTTGTATAGAAAAGAAAGCAGCACCTTATGTTTGATAGCTGATAAAGAGTATGAGAGAATGGATCGATATGCTGTACGCATATTACTTGTCATAAGGATGCTTTTCAATCAAGACGGAATGCTGTATCACAGCAGGGCTCCAACGATTGCCTCAACATTATTTAGATATTAATCATTAAGATGAGTATGACTCGACCTGTAAACAAAATTCGGGAATGGCGACTCTCCACCGGAGAGCGAGTAGGGACTTCAAATCCTCCATGCAGCGACAACGCTAGTTCTTGTACATACAGGCATTTCCTCTAGGGTCTGGGAAAGCTACGCAGATTCCCGACTCCGGGCAGTCCTGAGAGTGCGAAGAAAAGGCTCAGGGGTTTTATTATCCGCCGAAGAGCTGCAACCTGCTCACGTGGTGTGACGCACAGTTGACGAAGCAACGATTGACGTAGCACTCTGGCGACCCTCCAGGAGGCTTGGGGCAGCTCTTAGTTGTGATGCAAGCGCTTATACAGACCGCCGCAAAGACGACATTATTCTCAACCTGAGAGTAGATACTAAGGAAAGGTGGGAGCAGCGGCTCCAGGGCTGCTATGGGGCTCTTTCCAAAGCACAAGCAAACTGCTGGCTTGTGCTTTTAAAGAGCCGGTTGGCGGAGAAGACGAGGACTCCCTGCTCACCAGCATGAACGGACCTTCCTTAGTGTTGCAGCGGCATCCGTCTACAACATTGTTTCCTGAGGTGTAGCATTTTCCCACCGGCTTCTCGTAGACGTTCCCGCCCGAGTCAGGAGTGTTGACCTCACAGGTTATATACGAATGTAAAGGACTCAACCCACCATAAATCGGGCGGTCAACGCTCCCGTTTCCAGGAGAGGAAATCAGTAGGGGGCCCACTCTCCTGAAGGGTGACACAGCGTGCCTCTATGGGATGGCGCGTGTCCTCACTTACAAGTATCCTCTGAAGTCAAGCTTCTCAAGATCCAGGACGGCACCGCGTAGGCACACGAAGCACAGAATTTCGACGACGCCGCGCATGTCGAGAGGGCTTCTTGTTGCTGTGTTGCTCGAAGTCAGCGGCGCCCGTTATAGCTCGGGGTTGAACCGAGGAGACATGCTCCATCTCATCCCAAGCTAGTGGCCTTAAGCCTCTGCAGAGAGGTCTTATCAGCAA